CTACCACGTTTGTACGATACACAAGCACAAGGAGATACAAATGGAGCAGGAGTTAATTAACTGAATAAGAGAAGCTGCTTGATAAGAGTGGATAATAAGGAGATTACTCAGGCACTAGCTTGTTTGATGTTATATGGTTTATTTTTAAACACCAATATTCGAGGTTATGAGAACAGGTTCACATTGAAAGGTGAAAAGGCCAAACCACCTTTGACGCATGCGATGGACGCTGCAGCCGCTGCTTGCGTCAGACGCATGCATCAATCGCACAAGAGAACCCATGCCATTACTGATTTTGAGCGGGCTTGCAACTGCCTCTTGAATATCTATGGCTTCTGCTGTGCAAATGCTGATGTTGTTGGGAAGTCTAGAGGAAAAGCTTACGCTGGCCTGTGGGCTATTGAAACGTTGTGGGCCACTTTTACTACTAGCTGACATTTTTGACAAATGACATAAAGCTGTATTTTTAAATGTCAACCATATTTGATTATGCTTTTATTAAATATAGCATTTAAGATTTTTTTAAATGAAGTGTCTACCATTGATTTTAACTTTTTCAATGTAGTGAATCAAAGCTAGTTATGGAAAATAGTATAATACATACAGCATTGTTTCAATAGTAATAAATAGTAACCACATCTTCCAATTTTTTAACTTTCAAGTTTAAACTCAAGTTAGTTAGAACTTTAAATAAGGTTTATTTTAAAAATGGACAATTGCAATAAAGAATAGCGCGACATGATTGAAACCTACATTAGATGTCATAAAAATGCTATAGATAGATATAGATCGCGGCGGTTCCCGGTGGGACATCCTGTATAGTACATCGTAAGTTATGTAGGTTAATTTAATAATTGTGTCGATATTACTTATGGTCACAAACTTCGCTTTAAAATATTGAGAAAACTTGATTTTTCATTTTTTATTTACACAAAGCTTTGAAACCCTATCAGGTTTTAATAGAGCTAACTAGGGAAAAGACGCTTTAGATAGCGAGCTTCATAGAGGTTACATTTTGCTTTTTCAAAGACCATAGTGTCTTTGGAAAGCTATCAGCAGCAGAAAGTTACACTTTCCACTACAGGAACCGAATAAATGACTTTAGTCGTTAGCTTAGTTTAAAAATTAGTTTTCGACAAGATCAACACAAAGGGTTTATCACATGCAATTAAAAAATGTGCCTTACGTCCATTTGCCTACGTACCTGATGGAAAACTGTATTGATCCGGTCCTATTTCAGCAAAAGCATCGTTTATATTTTCGGTCGGTCTTCGGCGGCGGAAATAAGCTTTCAGCAATGCCACGAAAACAATATCCAGGATTAAAGCTGAAAGCTCACACAATAAGTAAATTATTAACGAAAGATTACTGAAATTGGAAAGAGAAGTTGTTTATATACTGGATGTTCAGAAAGCATTAAAATAGTTCAATATTTCCAGAAAAGAAAACTAATCTATATATATAAAATTCTCGTGTCACAGTTTTAGCTACCATACTCTTCCGAAACGGCTTGACCAATTTTGATGAAATTTTGTATGTATATTCAGTAGGTCTGAGAATAGGTTGTTATCTATTTTTTATACCCCTAAGTGATATGGGTGCTGCCATAAACCCCTATCTTTTAATAGCTATATTAGTAATTCAATAAATTTAAAATAAAATTTAAAAAAAAAGAAAGGAGGGGAACAAAAAAAGAAAGAAGGGTGGCAAACCTCCCACTCGAGATGAAAAAAAACCCTAGAAATAATTTATATGGCAATATAACGTCTGCCGGGTCAGCTAGTACTAAATAAAATATTATTAAATATTTTATTCAATGGCAAACCAATAAAATCAAAATTTAACTACTTACTTAACGGTTTATACTTTAAAATTTTCTATTTCCATTCATTTCTAACTGAACCCTACGATATTTATACAAATGTAAACATTAAGTTAGTTACATTTAGGAATGTTTTCCGGGCTTTGAAGCCGTGGTCTATGGGAATTTCTTCCTGACGTTTCATCCACAACTGCGCTAAGTTAATTTCAATGTTTATTGTTTGTACTTGCAATGGTTTTTCGCATTAAGATCAGATACATGACCACTGCTTTAAGTGAAAATTTGCTTAGAAAGGAGTAGAGATCACTGTTGATACTTGATTATTTCTATTGAGTTTACAAAACAGTGAAATAAACAAGGGCGGATCCAGGGGGGGGGGTCATTACCCTGCCTCCCTTGTGCTGGGTTATAGACAACAAAAGACTTCATTTCTACTACATGACCCCCCGTCACTCGAAAACTGGAAATCCGCCGCTGCTCAACGTATGATATTCAAATTTTGCTTGCTGGGTCAAAACTGTTCGCATTTTCTCACTCATGTAGTAATGACAGAATTGAATTTTCAATTCCCTATCTAACAATGCCAAAACGAATTCTTTGGCTAGAATGGGGCTTGCAAAACTCTTCGAAAAATGTAGAGTCATGTTTAGAACGATTTTGCAAATAAAAATAAACACGCAAATCTAAAACTTCTTGAAATTAAAATTTATTTTCGCCAAAGCTACCAAAATTTCCTTAACGATGGTTCACTTAGTAAAAAGATCATTTAGCTCTCTGTGGATTGATGTAGATTTTTCCCGGATGACCGGCCCACAATACATGGCGGGGACTTCAATGCTAAAAACTCAGATTGGGGATGCAACTACACCACAGCCAGAGGCCGCATGCTATCAAACGAAGCAAGAACCAACATGTTTGAGATAGCCGCACCCCAAGAGCCAA